ACTGCTGCTCCTCTGAAACCTGTCAGAAAGTATTGAGACAATCAGCCTGAAGGGGCGACTTAAAAACAGCGGCTGAGGGGGCCTGTAAATGTCTTGCTGACATAGGCAGGCTAATCCGCCGTGTGCATAAAGAGAGTGAAAGCTGTTTAAAATGATACACACACACACTAATGTTGAGGGAGTGCTCCCTCGCACCCACTGAGGGGACAGCTGTGGCTGCAGATCGGCACCTTCCAGAGAGACCCCGGACTTGGTATTAACTTAGGGTTCCGAGGGCCTCCCACTTTTGATGTGTGCAGAGTTGGCCCTAGGGACATATAGACCCACAGGTCACACCTGGTGGCTCCTTGACCACGAGGTCCCTATAGGGGGCAAGCTGTTTGGGCTAGAACTGGTGGCAATAAAATATATTTTTTCTTTTGTAAAAGAAGGGACAAGCTGTGAGAACAGCTGGAATCCCATGAAGATTGGTGGTGTGTGGCTTAACACTGCATGTGTATTATAGACTGTCCGTTTCTTGGGGCAGCCTTTGTTTCTTAAAAAATACTAAAGTATTCTGCAGTAATATAAACTATTTGGGACAGGGAACGTCTTTTTGTTCTGTGTTTGTATAGGGCCTAGCACAGTGGGGTCCTGGTCCTCGGCCAGACACATAATTTTACAATAGTAATACTATAGTGTATTTTCCGTTGCTGCAAGATACACTTTTTAATAAAGGAAAAATATGTTTTATTCTATGTTTTGTAAAGCTCAATGTAAATATGCTCATTAGTAATAATATCTGAGAGACACCTTGCCTCTCTAATGTTCTGGGACCAACACAGCTACAACACGGCAAATAATACCTAACTTTTTTAGTGCTTTTCATCAGTAGATCTCAAAGCGCATTACAACGCAGGTCAGTATTGTTATCCCCATGGTACAGATGGGGAAACTAGGGCACAGAGAGCTTTTGCTGACTGTTTCAAGGACTCATTTAATCTCTCTCTCTCTCTCTCTCTCTCTCTCTTATATTCCTAAACTGTACTATTTCTGTCACTCTTCAACATGTGATAGATGCCTTTTCCTTTAGCAGATACTGTGCTTTATCTGCTTTTTTTAGACACGGGTAGCACACAGAGACCCGCTGCAACCCCCACACCTCCCATTGGCTGCAGTTCCCAGTCAATGGGAGCTGCGGAGTCGGCGCCACTTGGAAGGGCAGCAGCAGTGCGCGGACTGAGACATGGCCACAGACACATGCCAGCCGCTTCTGGGAGTGGCGTGGGGCCAGGGCAGGCAGGGAGCCTGCCTTAGACCTGCTGTGCCGCCAGACTTTTAGCGGCCGGAGATTGCTATAGACTGGCAGAGGCTCCAGGATCGACCAGTCAATCACGATCTACCGGTTACTGACCAGTGGTCTAGATAATACTTAGTCCTGCCATGAGTGCAGGGGACTGGACTGGATGACCTGTCAAGGGCCCTTCCAGTCCTATTATTCTATGATTTTCCATTTTTGCTATATCCCTAGCATCCAAGCAGTCCTTTTTTGGTAGTGTTTTGGAAGAGCAAGTTCACACTGGTCTTGCAAATTATATCATGCATGTGACTTCCTACACCCAAATAGAGCCCCACTAAAGTCACAGATCCACCCTGCTATTATCAAGTTGTAGGATCAGGGCCTAAGATAGCTTGATAACACATAATTAATTAACATTCCATCTATATGATCTCTCCCATCTCAGTTTTTTGTTTTCTCCACCAATGGTTTATTTTCAAAATACTTAGGACAGGCAAATGGAAAGTCACATCAAGGTCTCTACTCTGCAAAACAAAGTAAATAATGCCATAATACACTCAGTAAAAAAAAATATACAGAAGAGGAGAGAAAACTGCGTTTCCTGAGGGGATGGGAAGCCATTGAATGATTAGTTAGGGAATGACTAGTTTAGAATGGAAATTTCTCAGACTTCCCCACCACGCACACAGGTCTCAACTTCCATATATCCCAAACATGCAAGTCATTGTAAATGGACAAGCTGTTGTCACTAACACCCCATGTCAGCAAAATTAATGTGCTGAAGTCCCATTGAAGTTAATGGGAATAAAGCCTATACCTAAGCATATGTGTAATGCTTTGCTGAATGAATCCATCTATGTGACACATACTGCTGTACATTGCCATAGTATCTGAGTACCATCTATGTAAAAATCAATAGTAAATTTGCTAGTGGAAATCAAGGACTCTCTGGCTCTCTCCCTTCTGTTTAGGGTTTGTTTTTTGTTGGTTGTATGTTACAGATATTTATTTTTATTTGTGGATGGTCTTATGTCTATTGTTCCCACCCCAAACTCACATATGTTACTAAAGTGGTCTAAATAAAATGTTTTGGAAAGTTTTAAGTGATTCTGTTGAATAAGCTAAAAATGGGAACTATTTTAAAATTACCTATTTTGAAATATGTTACTGCTTTTATGCAGCTGGGATTCTCAGATTTTAATACTGTTGAATACATTTTATAGATAGGGTTTCACTCTCCACTGCCTTGCTCCTTGTGAAGTTATTTGCACCTGTAAAAAGAGAGTATAAAACGCCACCATTTTGCTTTGGTGATATATTGCATTGTAGCCCATAGGATTATTTTGCTAGTTGTTATATCCTACTAATCCAGCCGTATCAAATAATATGTTTCTTTTTCTGAATTAATCCATTTCATTCTTATATGTTATCAGTATTAATTCCTTTAAATGTAGGATGTGTTGAGGCATGTGTTTCCTAATAATAAGTTTTGCTGAAATGTTGAAATGCAAGTAGCCTACTGGCCTGTAAGATCCGCTATATAGCAAAAAGTATAATCAGTTAAGAATATGTCAGCATAAAAGCTGGTAACCTTTGGCACAGATAGGAATGATCCCTGAACTTTGAGGAACCAAAGGGAGGAACTATCCACATCACTGAACAGGTTTATCCAGCCTCTACAACCGGTTGGTAACCCCAGGGTACACCACAACTTGGAGGTCACCAAGAGAGCCTAGATTGCCAGTTTTGGAGTGAGATAATCCTTATTAATATAAATAGAAAGTAAGTGTCATAATCCACTAACCTATAGGAGAAGGATACCCATAAATTTCTTAGGGTATGGAAATAAGATTTGGGTATAGTAGATTGGGCCTGAATTACATAGTGTCATGATCCTATAAAATACCTTGTAAGGAAGAGTCAGGAGGCTCTTTTAGCTCTTGAAGCTTCTTTTTCTTGGAGTGCTTTTTCCAGTTTTCCTAAATTCTATAGACTATCTTTTTATCTATCTATCTATTCTATCAGCTCAGCTTGTGCAATATAGTATAACTACTCAACATTCCTAACTATTGGGGAAACCAGCACTATCATGTTATCGGGCATTCCAGGAGTAAAGCTGGTCCTTCACCTCCTGTTACCGGGTCCTCAAGGAAGCGTGTGAGTATGTTAGGTTAAGGTTCTTAAAATAGAAATGTTACCACCAGGAGTTTTGGAATTCTTTTACTGTTTTGCAGTTATAAGTTCATACCATTTATTACTCTTTTGTTAATCTCAATAAAGTTTTTATCAACTTGGTATTGTCCTCAGTGTATGTGTTCTTGCCAAGCACCTCGAGAGTTCTCTCCCGATATAGAACTCTCTGAGTTCTTGAACCCTGTTGTCTGAATTGGATAAGAACCTATAAATCTTCTGGTTGGATGTGATCAGTGGCAAGCCATAACAACTAACCCATCCACTTTGAACAGGTGTGCCACTATGTACGGTGCAGGACAATGGAGAATCAGCCCTAATGTCTCCAATACAGAGTATGCGGTGAATTAAGTATTTAGTTACCTATTTTACAATAATATTTTTTACCAAAGCATTTGATAACAAATACCTTTTACTATGGACATAGAAGACATTGTACTACAATATAACTGACAGAATGCATTTAACTGGGGCCACTTTCAGGATTTACTGAGCCCAAACAATGCAATGGAAATACTGGCAGAAGCTATTGGAAACTTAGCTACACTAGGGTTCCCACCAGTGCTACTGATGGGATTTTTATTTAGGAAAGGCTGTAACTCTTGCAAGGTAGACAGGACCTCAATTGCTAATATATAAAAAAACTGTGAAAAACAAACAGTTTTGTAAAAGAAAAAAGAAAAACATTCAGACCTTATTTTTAGAAAATCCTTTGTAGGTTACCTTTAAAACTACGTCACAGTGCCTAGATGATATGGGGATTTGTGCCTTAGAAAGAGGTACAATTGTAATGTGCCATGTTTCTATATGAATCTGTCTTTCACTCCATAAAGATTTAAGGTAAAGAATCTATTCACAATATTATCTCAAGACAACATCTGTGACTCAGATGCTAGCAGCAGACACCACTCCCAAATTCCAGAATGTCAAGTTCCTTTTCTTAGGCCTGGTCCCCACTAAGCCCCCACTTCGGACTAAGATACGC